AACACATAACTAACAATATTCAAGGGACAGTTCAAGTCCAGGTCTTTCCACTAAATCTCACTGCCTTTCATGAACTCAGGAAGAGACACCCTTCAGAAGAAACAACGAGTATGATTAACACTGTGGAGATGAAGCCCACAAGCACCCAGGGGTGCTAATTAGGGCAGACAAAGGGATAATTTGAACATAGCTCCTGGACAAAGTTCTGAGTCAAATGCTGGAGGAGGCGTGTGGATTAACAGAGCAATAAAAGTCCTACGGAAGGAAGGAAGTCATGCCACAAGGAGACTAACTTAGCTGAAGCCGGAGAGTCACCGGAAAAGCAAAGGGAGCAACGGGCCTTGCTAAGCTTCAGCTGGCTGAGGCCCTGAGCTGGGGGATGGGGAGGATATGGGCGACCAGAAGCCTACATTTAAATGGGGGAGATCAAATGTGTCCCCAAACGGCAACAGTGACAGCACAAGTGTAAAATGAATGCCCTGCCAACATTACCTACAAATGGAGGGTGGGTCAGGGCAGGTAAGCAGGTGGCGTTTGAACTTGGTCTTAAAAATAGGTTGACAACAGGTGGCAATGAAAAGGAACAGCCTGAGGAAGGGGAGGCAGGAAACGTCTGAGGAATGATGGGTCATACCGAGTGCTCCAAGGTGAGTAGGTGACAGTAGAATCGAACCTGAGTCCTCTGGAAGAACAGGCCCTGCTCTTAGCAGAGGGACGTCTCTATCTCATCCCTGAAAGGATGCCACTCCTGAGACAGAAAAATGAACTCAACCCTGAAGCTCAGCACCGCTGTGGAGACAACATGGGAACTTCTTCAAAGGAAAAAGTTCTGCTGCTTCTATTCCCAGAGTGCATAGGTTAAGAAGTTAGAAATGGGGGTTGGAGCCTGGCATTGGTGGCACACCCCTTTTTAATCCAAGCACTCGGGAGGCAGAGGCAGGTGGATCTCAGGGTGTTCGAGGGCAGCCTGGTCTACAAATTGAGTTCCAGGACAACCAGGACTGTTACACAAAGAAATCCTGTCTCAAACAGTCAAGAAAAAAAAGAGACAGACAGACAGACAGACAGACAGACAGAGACAGAGACAGAGAGAAATGGGGGTTGGAGAGATGACTCAGCAGTCAAGAACACTGGCTGTTCTTCCAGAGGACACAGATTTGACTCCCATTACCCACGAGGGCCTCACAACCATGTGTAAATCCGGTTCCAAGGTATCTAATGTCCTTTTCTGGCCTCTGTGGACACTGCACACTCATGGCCCCCAGACACACATGCAGGCAAAACACCTATACACATAAAAATAAATTAATTAGCCGGGCGTTGGTGGCGCACGCCTTTAATCCCAGCACTCGGGAGGCAGAGGCAGGCGGATCACTGTGAGTTCGAGACCAGCCTGGTCTACCGAGCGAGTTCCAGGACAGCCTCCAAAGCCACAGGGAAACCCTGTCTCGAAAAACCAAAATAAATAAATAAATAAATAAATAAATAAATAAATAAATAAATAAAATAAAAATAAATTTAATTAGTTATGTTTTTAAAAAGTTAGAATACAAACAATGAACACTGCTGGGGGAGACTGGCTGACTAGCTCATTTGATGGCATGGCATTTTCCATCATGGAGGTGCCATGCTCAAGGACGGGTTATTCCAAGCGGCTTTTGCCAGCACCCTCTCAGACATTTAGCTTCCCAAGCTCAGAACTAACGGAAAAGCTAGAACATTTTGGAGAAAGAACTGTGACTGCCACAATCCCCAAACAGAGGTGACATTCACGTCTCTGCTGCTGGGACACGTGTTCCATTTCTGGTGACTTTTCTCCTTGTCCAGTGTGGATCTCCATCCTCTAAGTTACGAGACCATCAATAAAGCTACTGCAAAGTCTTGCGGTTTGCACGGCATCCTTGTGCAGGGCATCACGCTTACCCTTGCTTTGTTCTAGTCTTAGCGTATTTGTATTTGCTGTTAAAGGTGACAAGGTGACATTTCTCCTTTTTTTTTTTTTTTTTTTTTTTTTTTGAGACAAGGTTTCACTGTGTTTCTCTGGCTGACCTGGAAGTCTCTATGTGAAACAGGGAGGCTTTGAACTTACAGAGATCCACCTACCTCTGCCTCTTGCGTGCTGGGTAGAACATGAGTCACCACACCCAGCTTCATTCCTTTCTTCTTAAAGGAGCTGCATGGTCTTACCACTCCTCGTTAAATTCATAGTTTTAATTACTTTAGGAAACCCTTTTGTTGTTGTTGTTTCTACGTTCTTAATATGGATAATGATGTCTTGTCTCCCCGTTTCCTATTGTAGGAGTTTCCAATCTTCTACCCTTTATACTCACTTCTCTGAGTCTCTCTTTAAAAAAAAAGAATATTTATTTTTACTTTATGTGTATGAATGTTTTGTATGTATGTGCATCGCATGTGTGTCTGGTGCCTGGGGAAACCAGAGGGTGGCCAGCTGAATCCCCTGAAAACTGGAGTTACAGGCAGTTATTAGCCAAAGTGTAGGTGCTGGGGTTTGAACCCAGGTCTCCTAGAAAAGCAGCCAGTGCTCTTAACCACTGAGCCACCTCTCCAACCCCTCCATTCCATTTCTTTAGCTCTGCACTTGCCCTTGTAGCTTTAATGGCTCTTTTGCCTCACTGAGGGAAAGCTGCTCACTCATCCCCAAACGTGTTACTCAACTCAAAGTTCAAAGGCTCAGGGACAAAAAGAACAGTAAAAACTATCAATTGTTTGCCTATGCCAGAAGTAGACCCACATTATTTTTTAAACATTTCTTTGGCAACATCTTTTTGCTTATTATCATAGCACCATAAAACACAATGGAACAAACAGGAATGTGAGAAGGGATGCTCAGGAATAATGCTGCTTTTAAAATTCCCTGGGGACAGAGTTCTTTGCTCCTGATGGAATGAATGAAACAGCTGGTAAGGAATGACTCTGCATAACTATTTAGCAGAGTTGATTGTGCTGAGCAGAAAAAAAGAAAAAGAACGTGTGCTTGCTCTCCCTGTCCTTGAATGAGATGGGAATCATCTAGTGCCCCACACCACCTGTGTTGGAGCCAGCACGCTGAACTGAACCTTCTTTGTTCTTGTGGTGGAGACTCAGCCACCTCTACCAACGTCTCCTCAGGAATGTCGTTCTAGAAATAAACCGCCCGGCATTCATGAGTCAGACACAGAAGTTAATTCATTTGAGCCACTGGCTTTTCTTAGGCCCTTTGTATCTCAGCAAAGCCCCTCAGGGTTTCTCCTCAGCTCTTCCTTCACGTCTTCGGTCCCTGCTTCTTCCACTACTTTTTATTTGACTTTCCCTGACAGCCGTTATCTGCAGAACCAGACCCCAGCACCAGGGGTAGATCTGGCTGAATTCAGAAGGACCCAGGAAAGCCTGTCAACCTACTTACCCAGAACCACTCATCACAAACCAGCCCAGCCCCTCCTCTTTACACCAAACACATTTGTGAGACAGTGTACAAGTCATTAACTCTGTAATCTATATCACAAGGTAGAACCCAATGCAATAGCTCATCTTTTTTCTTTTAGATGTTCAGATTCATTTTAACAGGGGTAATAATTAATTTATATAAATGACACCATAAAACTGATATGTCTTTTTAATAACTAACCTGTATTCTTATGTAATTTTCATAGCTTTTATATTCTAGAATATTTTAGTGTTTTTTTTAAAGATTTATTTTATTTATTTTGGGTGTGTGTGTGTGTGTGTGTGTGTTGGTGAGTTGCCCAGTGTTAGTCAGTGCTGGAACCAAACTCTGGTCCTTTGCAAGAACAACAAGCATTCTCAACTGCTGAGTCATCTCTCCAGACCATTAGGATATTTAAAACAGAAATACACAATTAAGATAAAATGTAAAGAATATAGGAGTGTAAATGAACAGGGAATGTGTCTCAGAACCCTGCCCATTTCTGCTCCCCAGCAACTAACAGATCTTTATAAAGTACATGTACATATCATGTATGTACTTATGCAGGTAGTTTTATGTTCATACAAATGGGATCATATCTGCCCTACAGCTTCCTTCATGGCTTCCTTCTAGATTCCCATGTCAGTATACTTATATTTAAATTGCTAACAATTATATAGTACACACCAGTTTGAGCACGTTCCTGTTTAGAGTTTGATTGTTGTTATGGCAATTCTGTGCGGAATATCTTTGTGTATCTCTTGTGTATGCTCCAAGAATGTGTCTAGGACAGATATTGAGACGTACAACTGATGTGAAAGAAGATAGATATATTTAAAGTTTATACTTTTCAAAATATATAATTAAAAAATTAGATGTGTGTGATGGTTCAAGTTTGTAATCCCAGCAACTGGGAAACCAAGGTAGGAGGCTCATGGAAGATTCAAGACCTGCTCTGCACAGTGAATGCTGGGCTAGCCAGAGCTACATAGCAAGACTCTATGTTGGAAAAAAAGTTTAATTAAAACATTAAACACTTAGCCAGGTGCGGTGGTGCATGCCTTTAATCTCAGCACTTGAGAAGTAGAGGCAGACAGATCTCTATGAGTTCAAAGCTAGCCTGATCTAAATAGTGAGATCCAGGACAGCCAGGGATACACAGTTAAACCCTGTCTCAAAAATAATAACAGCAATAATAATAATTAAATACTTGGGCTGGAGAGATGGCTCCCCAGAGTTTCCCAGCACACAGATAGCTCATAACTCTCTGTAACTCCAGCCAGGGGACTCTGATGCCCTCTTCTGATTCCCCACAGATACCTGCATTTGCATGCACACACCTGCACCCTTAACACAGACACTTAACTAAAAATTTTTAAAAAGTTACTGGAGAAATGACTCAGCAGTTAAGAGTACTCTTCTAAATTCAATTCCCAGCACCCTCAAGACAGCTCACAGCAGCAGTCTATACCACCAGTTCCAGGACATTGGGTACCCTCTTCTGCCCTATGTGGGTGTCAGGCATGCTTTTAGTGCACAAACTTACATGCAGACAAAACACCCAATCACATAACGATTTTTAACATTTTTAGATTTATTTTATTATTTTACATGCGTATTTTGCCTGCTTGCATATATGTGTACCACATTCATGTCTGGTGCCTGCTGAGGTTCAAAAAGGGTGTTGGATCCCTTGGGGCTTGAGTTACAGACAGTTTTGAGACACCAGGTGGACTGGGAATCAAACCCAGATCCTCTTCAAGCACAGTGCTCTCGACAGCTGAGTCATCTGACCAGCCCCAACACATAAACCATTTTTAATTAAAATAAACCTAGTTTTAAGTCACTGTGAATACTTATTATTATAAATGATGCATGTGCATGTGTGAGTACAGACACCCTTGGTGTTTAGAAGAGAGATCATCAGATCCCAGGAGCTGGAGTTACAGGCAGTGGTGTCCCACCTGACATAGGTGCTAGCGATTGGACTCAGGTCCTCTACAAGAGCAGTACAGGCTCTTACAGTCAGTCATCTTCCCAGACTTGCCCCCATCCCCTAAAAGATCCTAAATGAATAATAACCCTTCTCAAAACAAACAAAAGCGCCTTAACCATCATCCTCCCTTCTTTTGCAGAGAGTGCAATCCTAGATGCCGACATTGTCCTTCAGACCCTTGACAACGATGTTGTGAGCATGGAGGTCTTCTTCAAAGCTTGGCTGCATAACAGTGAAACCGACCGAGAACACATCCATCTTCTTCTTACTCCACAAAGCCTTCCTCCTTCTCCCCGAGCCGGGGATAATCCAAGTACACAACCCTGAAAACATAGGTTCTGTAGGCTAAGTCTATCCTTGTCTAGGATTATAAGTCTAGATGACTCTGGTGAGTCATCAAAATACAGATCATTGAGGCCTAAGGGTTGTAGGAGGATTCGGTGACATGTTTAGTGACAGCATGGCTATAAAGAGAAAAGCTATAAGGAGTGGCCATCCCAGCCAGCAAGGGCCAAGTAGTTACAGAAGCAAAGCCCTTGATGCCTCAATGATAAGACATTGGCTACACCATAGCAGGATACACTGAATTTTGCACTGTGCCCAATATTCTTACTCTTAATGTGGTAGGCATTGTTGGTACTATGATTCAAGAGTCTTTTTCCTTTATAATATCCACACTGCCTGTGATAAGAATCATAACAGTAAATAAAAATCTTCTCAGGGGCAGGAGACATGGCTCAGTACCTAGAATCAGTTCCCAGCACCCACATGGCAGCTCACAGTCTCCTGCAACTCCACTTCCAGGGGATCTGATGCCTTCTTCAGCCACTGCACTCATGTAGTATACGTACGTACACACTTAACTATACACATAACTGTGCACATAAACTAAAAATAAAGCTCTTAAAAATCTCACTAGCGAGGCACCAAATTGAGAAAACTACAACAACTCAGAAACAAGCCCCAGAGAGGACCACATGAGCACAAGATCATGTTCATGGAGCAGTTCAGGCAGCTAGCCAGCTCCAGGCCTGTCAACAAGGGCCTAGCTACTGCTATGGCTGGGGCCAAATGGACTTACCAGTATAGTCAGCCGCACTGAGTTTACAAAGGGCAACTCCTGAGGACCCATCTCATCAGGGAAGACACCAAAGTGTTGTTTGGGGTTGGAGGTTTGTTTGTACCCGTTTTCTCCACAGAATAGGGTAATGGCGGCAACTATGGAGACCCTCGAGGGTTGAAAGGAGAACTGAGTATCGAGCTTCCCAAAGTCCTTTTCCCAGGCTCTGACATGACACGTGCTTTGTACCACCTCTGAAGACTCCACATATATGTAGCACACTTTAATGAATATGCGTGTTTCACCTGCATGTGTGTCTGTGCACTGTGTGCATGCGGTGCTCACAGAGGCTAGGAGACAGCACTGGATCCCCTGAAGCTGGAGTGACAGTTAACTGGGAGCTGCCATGTGGGTGCTGGGAAGTGAGCCAGGTCCTCGGCAGGAGAGCCAGCCCTCTTAACTGCTGAGCCGTCTCTCCAGCCCCAGGTAGCAGCATGTTTGAAGTCTCTTCTCCTACTGTAATAGCACTCTGCTATGATGATCGCGTTTGCAGGATGCGGAAAAAGCCCTCTGAAAGTATAAATAGGAATATGGTTTTCCCCTCTTCCCAAGGACAGCTATCAGATTCTGTTTCTTCCTCCATTAAAACCTTAGGCTCAGTAGGCAAAGGCACCTGCCATTAAGCCACTGGAGTTCAAACCCACGTCCCATGTTATGGAAAAACAGATTCCCACAGGTTGTTCTCTGGCCTACACATATGTTCCATGGTATTCATGCATGCACGCACACACAGACTCACACGCACACAAATACACACTAAATAAATAACTTTCCTTTTATAGCACCTATGGCCTGGAATGCCTTTGATGGCTTAACTTGATAGTAATCTGTTTTCCTTTGCCTGCAAAATGCCTCCCCAGGACCTCCTTTGTATTGTGTCCCAAGCTGATTCTACCAATTCCTCTGCAATTCACTCACTCACCTTCCTCAGTAAAAGCAGCCAGCAACTTCACATAAAAGTTGGCTTGTATTTAACATTTGCGTGCCTTTCCTCTGCCAAGCTACTACGCTAACTTCTTTTCTTGCATAATCCCCTTCTGCTTTACACACCACCACCAGGCAAATGCTGCCACTGAATATGTCATCAGATCTAAGATGCTATCAATTATAAGACATGCACTATTTTTATACCGCTAAGAATGGAAATGCTGTCAGTTAAACACGACATAGTGTTTTCTTGTCACTTAGCAGTATAATTTTATCCTTCCTGGGAGAATTTAAGTGCTAAGATTGTCTGCCTGGCCAACAGCAATTGTAAGACAGATCTAGAGATCTATCTTAATGTGTGAAAAATTTGTCTACAAACCAAATATAATACTATACCTATTTTTACACATGAGGAAAGTAAGACGAAGGAATTAAGCACTTTCCTGGGGCTTCAGAGAACAGCAATTCCCAGGGCCCCTTCTTCATCTTAGGACCAGGAATCTCTGTTTGTGCACTTGACAGTTCTTTCCCAGAATACACTCAACAAGCACCAGTCTGTCTACTCCAGAACTTAGGCCTTTGTCCACCACTAACCCACCTGGTGCTTAGGCACCCTAAACAAAAGCGATAGGGACTCACTTCTCTCACTAGTGGAGCTGAAGCCCTCAAAGTCCAGGAACTGCTGAAGTCTGTTTTGCCTCTACTGCTCCACAGCATCTGCACTTGGCTCAGATCAGACTTTCTCCAGCTTCCCTCCAGGTCGCCTCTCCAAAGCTGTCATCACCGGGGTCAGAGGCAGAGTATACGCCAACTGTAGCCGTGCTTCAGAAGCCCACAGAGCTTCAGCGTGCATGTCTTAGATCAGCTCCTCTGCAAGCCAGGGCCTCGCTGGAATCCAGATGTCAGGCACAACTGGAACAGAGTCTGGAGAAACTCAGTCTCCTCCAGAATGATACAACCCATGGAGATTATAAACAACCACAATCAAGATTAGACTGTAGTTACCTCTTAGGGTGATTCTTGTTGCAACCAATGAGAACTTCATCCAGATAGACAAAGCTTCCCAATCCTAAATCCCAGTGGCCTGTAATGGGGAAGTCAGGCAGAGAAGAAATGAAGGGAGGCATATTCATAAACAAAGTCCCTCTTGAGTTCAATGAGATGAATTAAAATCTACATCTTATGAACCGGGCCCCAGAAATCCCGCTGAATCTATCACCCGATCTATTTTTCCCATGTTACCTTGATATTTTTTATTTGGTTTTTAAATTCGTATATAACATAACAGACTTTAATTGGGTGACATGTCACTGCGATTTGCTTCTGTTTTTATTTTTACCTCGTGTGACAGTCTGGTCATTCCACAAATCATCATAACCTACTAACCTTCTCACAAGGATTCAGGGTTCATATTCTTGCAAGCTTGTTATCCATATTCAAACCAGATATGTATGTTAATGCTTTGTAGTATCAAGGATTCAGGCTTCGAGCATTATGTCATTTGGCACCTGAAGGTAATTGCTGGACTAGAAAGCCAGAAATAGTAATACACACCTGAAACCACAGCGCTCATGGGATAGCGGCAAGGGGAGCAGAAGTTCAAGGTCACCTTCAGCTACACGGCAAGTCAGAGGTCAATCTGGGCTGCAGGAGAGCCTGTCTCAAAACGGGGTGGGGCTGGAGAAATGGCTCAGCAGTTAAGAGCGTTGGCTGCCCGTCCAGTGGACCCAGGTTCAATTCCCAGCACCCACATGGCAGCTCACACCTGTCTATAACTCCAGTTCCAGGGCTTCTGACACCTCACACAGACATACACTCAACACCAATAAACACAAAACAAAAATAAATTATAGAAATGTTTTTAAAAAGCCAAAACCTTAATAGAGCAGAGTGCCAGACACCGAGAATAGTATAACTCGGTGCCAGTCTGTGCACTCTGGTGTTTAATGCTGCCGCTGTGCTCCAAGGCCTTGGAGGTCTAATATGCGGGTTCCTTCCAGACATTAAACATAAGCTATTTCAGGAACTTGTTCCTCCCATAGTCCTGAGCACCCCCTAGAAGAGCGCATAGAAAAACCAGTGGCAGTCAGCTGACCGACTTCTGTTTTCCTGCCTGTCCTTCATCTGACCAGCATGCTTGCCAAAGCCGCAGGGAAGCAGCAGAGGCAAGATTTCCTTCTGTGGTTACCCAAGGGCCTCTGCATATTACCCCGGCTTTGAGACCTAGCAAGCATTAGCTGCTCCAGCAAGGACACGTGTCCCTCCTGAACTGAATGCAAACCAGACCTCTTGCTATAAGACAGGTGCTCAGTGAGCCTGGCCGTAAAGCGAGGGCAAACCATGCCAGGCTCAGAGAAGTAAAGCTTGGGGAGCAATAGCTAGAACACAGGGGGCAGGACTGCCCTACCTCCTCAAGCCAAGCTGGCTTCTTTTCCTGTGCCCCCTACCTACTCCTCGCCCTTGACTGCCTAGTGAAAGTGAACTTGTCTCTCAGTGACAGCCTGAGGTAACTTGTAACCTGGCCTCTTCTCTGACTCTCCTTTGATAGTAGTATGTCTGAAATGTGACCTCCAAGAGCGATTTCTCAGCCCATCCCTGCTTCCCGGTACAGCCGATGGCATGCTGAGAGTAGATGACCCCCAAGGAGACATCAGCACTCTCTACCAGATGGCTTCCTTGTCGTCAGACTCTCCATACAAGCTGCAAGTGATCAAGTATGGTTTGAGGAAGCCTCGCCATTCTCCTCTGTTCTTCTTGATTCCATGGCCGGGAAGTGCAGAGATTCAGGTTATATCTTGGCAGTCAGGCAACAGTCAGATAGCAGTTACAAACATGCCATGAAAAAAAAAAGTAAGGTTGGGCTCCTCAGTAAGTGGAAGGCAGAGAGGTCTTGCTGCCTCAGAGGACTTGGAGATATGGGCAGGAGTGGAAACACGGCATCTGAGGGCAGAGAAAAGCAAGGTTGTTGCAAGGGTGTTCAGCCACCCAGTGGATTTGCCAAAGGCCGTGGTGTTAGTGTGGGAATGAGCCTTCCAAGGGCAACTCGTGTCAAGGTCCAGCTCCATCCCTACCACTCCTCTAGGTTCTAGGAGTTGCTGCTTCGGGAACCCCATCTCTGGGCTAGCTCAGCGATGGGAAAGCCCAGCTTTGCTACTCCCGACTTCACACTGCAGGGCCCCATGCGAAGACTGTTGAGCTCTGAGACTTTCAGTGTGCCAGATTCCATGCTTGACACTGGCCACACACTCCGAGAATTACACGCCCTGAGCCACAACAGAGTCCTCGGTCAGAGCTGAATGTAGATGGGGGTGGGTAGAGGTGCCGGATACCACTAAGAAGTCTTTCTTTTCCAGAGCTCTAAAATGCAGTCACATCTGTGAGTCCCTGACCTATGGACTCCCCTTCATCCTCAGACCCACGAGCTGCTGGAAGCTGGACTGGGATGAGCTGGAAACGAATCAGCAACACTTTCATGCTCTGTGTCACTGCTTGCTGGTGAGTGCCCTATCCCCAGGCAAGAGTTACAACTAGAGAAAAGCAGCCACTAACTCCTCCCGAACCCCAGACCTGCATCAGTCCTGAAAAGGGTGGAGAAACTGGAAATACTCTGAATTTTACAGTAAATTGTTTTTGTTAGATGAACCCAGAGGAAACACTAGTACGTCCTGCCAGATGGCTTTCCAGGTATCCATCTGTTACAGTCTGATCGAGGGTGGTACAAAAGAACCTCCCCACTCCATACAAATGCTAGTTAGCTAGCTAGTTAGTTAGTTTTGAGACAGGGTTTCTCTGTATAGCTCTGACTGTCCTAGAACTAGCGCTATAGACCAGGCTGGCCTCGAACTCACAGAGATCTGCCTGCCTCTACTTCCTGAGTGCTGCCCAAATGCTATTTTTTGTGTGTTTTATCTTTTTATCTCGTGTGCATGGTCCACAAATGCCATGGCCCATGTATAGCAGTGAGAGGACGACCTTTGGAGTCCATTCTATCCCAGCCATGTGAGTCCTGGAGAAGGAGCTCAGGTTTCAGGTCTGATGGCAAACATTTTTACCAACCATGCCATTTCACTGGGCCCAGGCACTAGTCTTAATGACACCATGACTAGGAAGTCCAGATATTCAGATCATATCTCTAAGTGTCAGGTAAAAACCAATTTTGGGGTAGCAGTTGCAAGCACGGGTGGAAGAGCAGGGTGAGACTACTCCATTTGTAGCAGAATGTTTCCTGAAATCAGACAGAACCCTTATTCTATAAGCTTTAAACATACGTGATGATGTGTTAAAGACTACTTCCTTTCTGGACTGGAAAAACAGCTCAGTGGGTAAAAGGGCTTGCCACATAAGCCTCACGAGTCTGAGTTCAATCCCTGGGATCCACAGAGGAGAAGGAAAATGGACTCTGGAAGGTGTCCTCTGGCCTCCACTCATGCACTGTGGCACACCTGTACACACACACACACACACACACACACACACACACACACACACACACACTGTACATACACACACAATAATGATGATAAATGTTTTAAAATCCCCCGACCTTTCTAACACTGTACTCATCATCACAGGTCATTTGAAGTAGTCTCTGGTCCCAATCTATGCCAGACAGCCTGTTAAGCCCTTGATATACATACATTCAGTGGTGGCATAATGGATACATCTGTGTCCTCAAGAAATTTAGCCTGTAATGGAAGAGACAGAAATATAAATGTATATACATACATACATACATACATACATACATACATACAGCTTAGACTAGAGTATCAAAAGTCAAGGTTAAAAAAATACAATATAGAAATATTTGTAGGCATATATAATCAATTAGAACTCAGTGAAGGATGGGATGTGGGGAGGAAGGTAAATGCAGTATCCAGCAACTGTTTGGCATCTGACTTGAACATCAAGATGTCAGTCGTTGGAACAATAGCAAATTAAAAAGCACATGCACAGAAAACTAATATGACCTGGCCAGATGGCTCAGCGGACAAAGGTAGGAGAGAACCAATGCCACACAGTTGCCCTCTAACTCTACATGCGCTGTGGCACCCCATCCCCCACACAAATGATACATACATACACGGTAAATAATTTTTACACAATGTATACACAATGCACAAATTTTAAAAGAAAAAGAAAACTAACGAGGAGCTATAGAGATAACTTTGCATCTAAGAGAGCTTGCCGCTCTTGTAGAGGGCACAGGTTCAGTTCTCAGTGCCCACATCAGAAGGCTCATAATTTCCTGGGGTCCCAGTTCCAAGGCATCTGATGCCTTCTTCTGGTCTCCACTAACACACACGTGGTGCATATACACATATGCATACACTCAAGCTCACATGCATCCACATAGTTCTTTTTTAAAAAGGAAAGAAAAGAAACCACATGTGGTGATTCTCAACTTTAGTTCCAGTACTTGGGAAACAGGCAGGTGAGTGTCTGTGAGTTCAAGACTAGCCTGGTCTACATTGAAAGTTCTAGGCCAGTCAGAACTACAGAGTGAGACCCTATCTCAAAAACCTAAAAAAAGAAAATGAAAATGAAAATGAATACAACATTTAAATCAAAATGAAGAGAGAATCCAAGACGAGATGCTGAATAAACACTTGACCTGGTGCTAGAGAGATGGCACAGAGTTTAAGAGCACACGCTGCTCTTCTGGAGGACCTGAGTTCAGTTCCCAGCACCCACCTTGGGCTGTAACCCACCTGTAACTCCAGCTCTAGGGAGATCCAGCACCTCTGTTCTGCACAGGTACCTGCACTCACATGCACAGACCCACACACATATAATTAAAATAAAATACATCTTTTTAAAAGCAAAGGCTTGATTTAGGTGGGCATGAGTGACAGATCTGAATGATGGTTACGGATAAATGGGCAGCACAGTGTTGCGGCCTTTTTTTTGTTTGTTTGGTTGGTTGGTTGTTGTTGTTGTTTTTGGGTTTTGGTTTTTGGTTTCTTGAGACAGGGTTTCTCTGTGTAACTTTGGAGCCTGTCCTGGAACTAGCTCTTGTAGACCAGACTGGTTTCAAACTCACAGAGATCCACCTGCCTCTGCCTCCCAAGTGCTGGGACAAAAGGCATGCGCCACCACTGCCCAGCCAACAGCCAGTGTTGTGTGTTTGACTGTCAGAAGCAGACTTCCTTTCCTGTTTCAAAGCTCACACTCCCTTTTGGGGCCCACCCACGGAGTTCCTGTTTCTGGTCGGAAGAACGTCCACCCTGTGTCTTTGCAGAGCACAGATGACAGATCAATCAGTTCAGTGAGTGCCCAGCAGCTCAGTTTATGGCATCCTCCACCCACTTCCTCAAAATCTCTGAGATGATCCATCATCACTCAGCAGGCCTCCCAGGTGCCTCCAATCCTTTTGCTTTTCTTTTTGACTTATTGGAGATTGAGCCGGGCTCTCACACATGCTAGGCAAATGCCCTACCCCTCTTCAGGATCCCCAGCCTTCCTTCTATCTATCTATCTATCTATCTATCTATCTATCTATCTATCTATCTATCTATCTATCTACCTGTTTATCTTATTTATCATTCTGATACAAATCTCATTTAAGTTACTTGGGAAATTGAACTTAATCTGTAGCCCAAGCAAGAATTCAAGACCTTCTTGTCTCAGCCTCCCTGAACTAGCTAGAATTACCGGCCTGAGTCAGCAGGTCCTGTTTTCAACACAATATGTAGGGGGGAGCCCACATATCCCAGATACCATCCACACGCCTTGACAGGCGAGAGACAAAATAGAAAGAGAAAGTAAATCTCGCTCTTGGATGCTGGTCATGTTTCAGAGAGCTTCCCACCTTCCCAGTTTCTCTTGTAAGTGATCTCTCCCGCTAATAAATATCCTTGCCTCCCGGTTGCTTTGATTCCTTGTCAACAATACTTTTTTTTTAAAGACAGGGCCTCATGTAGCCCAGGTTGACCTTAAAGTTGCTGTGTAACTGAGGATGACTTTACCCTCTCCAAGTGTTAGTACCAGAGGCAGACACTGTCATTCCTTTTTCAGTGCTTTTAGTACAGGATTTTTCGTTGTTTGTTTTGGTTTTGTATTTTTTTTCTTTGTTTTACGAGACAGGGTTTCTCTGTATTGTTTTGGAGGCTGTCGGTCCAGCCTAGCCTCGAACTCACAGAGATCCGCCTGCCTCTGCCTCCCGAGTGCTGGGATTAAAGGCGTGCGCCACCACCGCCCAGCTTGGTTTTGTATTTTAAGACATGTTCTCTCTATTATGTAGCCCTGGCTGTCCTGGAACTCACTGAGATGCCTCTGCCTGCTGAGTATTGGGATTAAAAGTACGCACCACGATGTCCAGATAGTACATGATATTTTAGAAATTGGCATTTTAACACATTTTCCTGAAAATTTTTCACCCTTCAACACTTTAGCCAGGATTCCAGCCCAAGAACAGGGGGCAAAGATGTATGCATACAAGGTGTTCATCTCAGTATTATTTACAGAGGTAGAAAATTAGAAATCACTTTAATGTCCTAAATAGATGAACGAGTGTCAATTTGACACAAGCTGAAGTTATCTGGGAAGAAGGAACCTCAGCTGAGAAAACGCTTTCATAGCATTGGTTGGTAGGCAAGTCCGTAGGATGTTTTCTTGATTAATAGTTGATATGAGAAGGCCCAGTCCATATGGGTGGTGCCTCCCCTGGGCAGGTGGTCCTGGGCTGTATAAAAATGTAGGCTGAGCAAGTCCTAGAGAGCATCCTTCATGCTCTCTGCTTCCTTATGTTCCTGGCTTGGCTTCCTCTGATGCTAGACTGTCAGCTGTAAGGTAAGACTTTTCCTCTCTAAGACGCCTTTGGACAGTGTTTTATCCTCCCTGCACTCCTGCTGCAGGCTCCTGCATTTCACTGGGCTAGTATCCAGTGTATCCAGGCCTTCATAACTGCTCCTTGTTCATCTTTTACATTTATTCACTTATTTAGGAAGCAGAAGGTTTACATGTCGTAACACCCATGGGAGTTAGAGGACAACTTGCAGGGCCGGTTCTCTTCCTTCACCATGTGGGTCACGGGGATCTCCTGCTACAGTTTTCTCAGCTCTGTTCCATCACCTCATCAAATGCTACTCTTCTAGTGGATGGAGGGGGCAAATTAGTGGTCAAAAGGCTCTTCATAGCCGGGCGGTGGTAGCACATGCCTTTAATCCCAGCACTCGGGAGGCAGAGGCAGGTGGATCTCTGTGAGTTCAAGACCAAGCCTGGTCTACCGAGTGAGCAAGTTCCAGGACAGGCTCCGAAACAATATAGAGAAACCCTGTCTTGAAAAAACCAAAAAAAAAAAAAAAAAAAAAAAAAAGGCTCTTCATCCATGCTTTTTGAATGGCATCCTCAATGACAGAGTGATAGAGGGAAGATTGTTCACAAGCTTCGAGTCATTCATTCAGTGAGAAATACTCTCATACCTACTGTGTGACAAGACTTTTTATTTAGTTTAAACCTCCCTAACCCTGTTTTCACAAGTTGCCCAAACTTTTGTTTTTTATATGTGTTTATCGATGTGAGTTCATGCCACTTGCGTATAGGTGCCCACAGAGGCCAGAGCTGGAGCTGCAGGCCTTGTGACCATCTGACATGGGTGCTGAGACCAAACTTGGACATTCTGGAAGAGCACCAAGGGCTCTTAATTGCTGGTCTATCTCCCCAGCCCTGTGTTTGCAAAACTTTGCCTCTGTCTTTGGTTTTGTATTTTTACACCTTATTGTTCTCTTCAAATCTGATGACTGCCAGGTCCCCAGGGCAGCTCTGTGTGCCTCCTCCTCCTCACGCTGATGTTTCCCCTGCAGCCAGCTTCTGCTTGACTTCTTTCTGTTAACAGCAGCCCCGCCATTGTCTAAGTCACCCAGGCTTGAAACCTCAGCCACTTTCAGCTATGGCGTCCTTTACATTCAAGTCACCCCAGGCCGCATCAGTTTTCCTCTCCTAAGCTGGGGATGTCCTTGTTCCCTGTCCCCAAGCTTGTCTCACAATTTTTTCATAAACTTCTTTCTAACTTCCCTTAATCAGCCTCTCCAACTCCATTTTACTGACACAATAACACTGAATGACCTTTTCTTTTCTTCCTTCCTTTCTTGCATTTTTTTTAGACAGGGTTTCACCATATAATCCTGTCTGACTTGGAACTTCCAATGTAAATCAACTCACAGAGATCCATCTACCTCTGCCTGCAAAACGCTGGGATGTACCACCACGCCCAGCCTCACATTACCTTCTTAAAGCAGTCCTCTGATGTCACATTTTCTCTTGTGCCTACACCCATTCGTTTTTGTTGGTGTTTATTTTTGTTTTGTTTTGTTTTTATTTATTTTTCAGTTTAAATTTAGATAAGAAACAAGGTTGCTTCACAAGTCAGTTCCAGGTCCCTCTCCCTTTCCCTCCCCTCCTCCCGTGCCCTCTCCCCAACCCCCCCATTATCCCCTCATTTCCCCAGGGAGGGTGAGGCCCTCCATGGGGGTGTCCATAGTCTGTCATTTCATATAGGGCAGGACCTAGACCCTTCCCCAAGAGTTCAGGGTGAGAGTGCACCTCACATTGTTGGATGGGAGTCCAAAGTCCATGTGTATACTCGGGATGGGTACTGATCTGCTGCCCAAGGCTCAATAGATTACCTAGGCCTCCTCACTGACACTCACATTCAGGGGGTCTTGATCAGTCCCATGCTGGATTC